GAATGTGTCGGTGTCGGGAATCGATATTCGCTTCCCCCCCCCCTCCCCCTCACTCGTTCGGATCAATTGATTAATATTCATCTTGATTAATATTTTAGAATCCCAGCGTTTCATTGTGGCACGAGGATGCGTGGTGAAACAGTAAATTCGAGAATCTGAATTTCACTCGCGAGCGGTTGGGAAATAGAATTGGGCGTGGTATCGGGACGATGACGAGGACGACGATTTCGATATTGGGCGAGAGCCAATAACGTTCCAATCACAGAATATATCCTTGAAGAAGCAGACACGTCAGGTTAATTTTAACAAACGAAAACTCAGAAGATAATCACTCTTCACGTAAGAGAATGTATGCAAGTATAAATTCTTTTCAATTAACATGATTGTTATAAATTGTGTGAGTAAATTAGTTTCTCAATCTAATTTACACTTTAGATTTGCTATAGAAACTTACGAGATACGTAAATACACAGAGAATAATGATATCAATTTGTTTCTCATGTCAAAGCTTTTCGAAACAAACTTTCGAACATTTCAAAACCACTTCAAATCGTGTGAGCAAAGTGAGTAATAATAAATTGCATGCTCGGTTTTGCGAACTAGATTACACTGTTGTATTATCGTCTTTAGTTTTTGCAGTAATTAACGTTCGAATAATACATAGTAACTCTCTTAGACTCACCGGAGGGTTCAGCACCAAAAGTACAATTCCTCGAAGGTCCTCACTAATCATCCCTTTCGTATAAATACATCCTCTGACCTGGGTTCCATTATCCTGACGTTTAGGGGTAGTTAGGAAAACTTACTGATAGTCCCACCATCCACTGAATGAGACACTTCCTCTTGCTTTTTCCTCGTTCCTTTTCTTGAGTAGAGGATGACGATTACGTTGTCCTCCCAAATAATGCAATATTTACAACATTGAATGTTACTTCTCGAAATAGCATTGGAGAATGAACGCAAATCACCTGAAAATAAAAGTTGAAAGAACTGAGAATAAATTCGAGATAAATGGTCAAATTCAAACTGACAAGTTACTGAGAAAACAATTACGTGTCTGTTTAAAGAAGAGAAAAGAAAGAAAAAAAAAAATCGAGCTCATTCCGTTCACACGCATTGTCGAAGACCACGGGAAAGGGATTTGTCAGCCGGCTGGCAACTTTTGTTGAATCCAGGCAACTCTATTTCGACCGCGACTAACTTTCCAATCACTGTTTACCTTGATAGGTGGCCTCTATGTTCCTCTTCCACTGAACGAACTTACCGCGTCAGCTAACTTCCAAAAATCACGGATGCGAAAAGTTCCTCTCAATTTTACAGTTGAGGAACAATCAGGGGACAACTTTCAACGATGCTCGATCAAAGGGATGCAACGAGCATTTGCATAAATAGATGAATCATGGCGACGTTCTATCTCGCAGGGAACAAGCTAGAAACGAAAACGAGGTAAAATAAGTATCTCTATGTGTGTAACGTGTTCACAGGATTTCGTTCATCGAACAAAAATATACTACATAACAATTAATATTGTCTCTATAATTTTAAATTCGATGTTCTCTGCACAGAGCGTTAAGATTTAGGTCTGTTGCATTGTCTGAACAGCTATATCCTAATCTACTTACTTCACACCACAAGATAATATGGCCTGAATGGAATAATAGAATTGTAATAAAATTAAATAAAGAAATTAATCATTCGATTCATTCTAAATTCACAAAAAATGAATAAAATGAAGCTATCCTTAATAAAAAAAAAAAAAAACTAAGCTAATATTTTTATATCTTTCTAAATAATTTAAACAACTGTGGCAAAGGACCGATATTTAATGTACCATTGTTTTTATTTCATCTTTGAATCTATCTTATTAAGAATTGCACACGGATTATATAAGGTGACACATCAGAACGAGGAGAAGTACAGTGAAGTACAACATTCGTTTATTCCAGAAAGTGAAATAAGTATGCGTAACTGTACGAATTACGCACATGTCACACTATCTTAACCATCTTCCACAGAAAGCGACGCGTGAGATATTCACGCGACAGTCTTGTCCTCTGCTTCACCGCACTTGAAAGTGTAATGAATAATAAGCGGACTAGCTACAAGCTGTCGAGAGATTTTATCGAGGCTACTGTCAACATCCAACTAATATCGCGTACAACGTGGCGGGTTAATTGGAACTGCCTTTGGGTCTAAGCAGTATTTTCAGAGGCTTAAATCACGTTCGCGTGACACCAATGCAGGGACACCATGACCCTCGACTACGGACGAACATCTCATATTCTCTGAAAAGTCAATGAGGTGATAATGATCGGCAATTCGCAATGTAAAATATGATTCGCACAATTCGCGAAAGATTGTGTGAAATTGAAAAGTCGATAACGAATTTATCTCTAAAGTTTAAATTTACAATTATTGAGAGATTATTATCGAGATTATTGAGTAATTCAACGAGATATTCAATCGCCAAAAAAATTTTATCTCATGTTTGATTAGTATTGTAAGTGTATCTTATTCTTTGGCTTAGTTTTATGTAGAGAAATTACGAAGATAATTGCTATTCAAATGAATGTTCATGTATAAGTAGATACACTTCTCTCAAACAGTCGTCGAGACGAATTTAATACCTGAAATATGAAATCGGACATCAAAACAATGTATCTTTTCATTACGTTTGAAAGTAATGGCTACCTCTTTGATACAAGTGCATATTACATTAATAAATCGATCAAACGACGAAAATCTCTAAAGTAGTGAAAAGAAGCGTCCATTTCGCAACCTTATGGTTACTTTTTATTTCCACGATCGTCTATCTACTGAACGTATCCCATTGTTTCAATAGAAACGCTTTCGACAGTGTTATTTTTCACAAAGCTTGAAGGAAAAAGTTTGATCGTTCCTACTGGGTAAATAAATTGTCTGTGGAAGTGCTTCAGCCATTGACCAACTTTCTTCTTCCCTAATCCGGCTGTTTTTCGATCCAACAGTTTTTCCAACTTCCGCCGATAACAAATAATACACATGCCAGTCGTGGCCTACAAAATCACCAATTATTAATGAGAAACGCTACGTTCAAAGTAAACGTTTAATAAAATTTTTACATTTTGAAATCATTAATTACCTATTATATTTGTCGATTTAATAAATTATTTTTTATGATTAAAACAGTTCGATTTTGCTTGCTAATTTCAAATTTTGTTGATCGTGTCAAAATTTGAAACGAATCGCTTTAAACTTTCAACAAAACTTTTAACAAGCAAAAATATAAGAAATAAAATATTTTGTCTATATCAAAATTTTGTTTTGACCTTTTATCGTCCTCTAAAACGTATTCAACCCATATCACGATCAATCTCTTCGTTCATTCTTTTCAATAGTGAATATTTATTTATTCAAATGTTCAATGTGGGATTCGTTTCACCATGGCCACGTTAAATCTCCGCGTTACGCGATTTTGGCCGATTTTTAGCATTTTTACTATTGAATTTTTCCTCGTCACCTTGTTTTCACCGATTGGTTGAGGATCGATTTAACGAAGCTAGGGAATAAATTTACATTGATACCCAGTGTAATATGGAATTCCAAAATGAAATATGTTAAATGATTGTTTGATTGTGTTTGCAATTTTAAAAATGTATAACAGTCTAAGCGTTTTAGTAACTTTTTCATCGTAATTAAAATTGTATATTTACTTGAAAATTACAGCTGTAAGTCAAGGGGAATACTGTTAATAAAGAGTTAAATGGAACTATTATTTTAATTAAAATTAATTATTTTATATTCTTTTAATTGTATTCTTACGAAATAGTGATCATCAATTAAGAAACTGGGAGGAGGAGGAAGTGATTTATCCTTTAATCACTATTCCGGATGTTGACCAATCATTTTTTGATTTTATAATAATATTGTTGTAACAATATTAATCCGATTTATTTGCAGTTCTGATGGTTATCAATGCTAGCCAAGCATCGGATCATGTGTACTTATGATTCGAAATTTTCTATTCGAAAATTTTGGCTTTCCAAACATTTATATCAGCTCTAACATGCAACAATGATAAAAATAACAAAAATTTGTAAAAATTATTATTTATAAACATGTAATAATACAAAAAATATTTACTAAATTTGATATCAAAATGTATTTAAAAAATCAACATTTTAAATAAAAGGCTCGGATAATTACTCTTACCGAAATTATACAATTTATGTATTAATTTTTCACAATATATAATTTACATAATTATATATTGTGAATTTACAAATAATTTACAAATTATATAAAGCGTAAGTTAAATTAAATTACCTCTTCGTAACCATGTAACCATATATAACTCTATTTTACTTTCAATGAATATGTTTGTTCATGAAAACGAATAAAATTTTAAAAAATATTATAAAATTCTAAATGGACCGTGACTAAATGGAATGTAAATTGAAAAAAATTTGTCCTACTTTCACTATGATTTCCGTGTCACAATGCTTTTCAAATTTAATTTTGTAAAATAAACTTGCAATGTATCAAAACGTTACACATAAAGCATAACCAAAATCAAAAAATGAGTCATTATTGATATCACACTGTTTAAAATCGTTTAGGGTCATAACATTATAGG